CCAGGCTCGAGGGATCCTCCCCCTTCAACCTCCAAGTAGCAGGACCACAGGGATGTGCCACCATGCTCAACTAATTTTTTTATTTTTTGTAGAGAGGAGGTCTCACACTATGTTGCCCAGGCTGGGCTATTGATATATAGATTCGTCTATCTGCCTAGATGGAGCACATGTATACTCCCAGCTCTTAGCCTGACTAAATTCCACTCATCTTTGAGATATATTAATAATATTAGATATGGCCTATTTTCTTGTCTTTCTCCCCCCCACCCAGCAGTACAAAAAGGCCAACAAAAGGCTGAGATTTACATTTGTTTTATCAGTACATAGTTTGACACACAACTGCTGAATCCATTGATCCGGAATTAATAGGTAAAAAAGAGATGGTAATTGTTTTCTTGATCATAAAAGATTCTAATTTGAATGCTGTCCTCTTCAAATTTGGGATTTAGATCATTCATTAGGTGATTTTCATTTCAGCCCATGGAAAGAAGTCCATGGGGAAATGGCAGAAACCATTTCTAGATGTTTCCAGATGTTTCTTCAAGTACTCCTAGAATCAGTATACGCTCCATCCGGTGGCATCCTCCTTTGGCTTTTTGTGCACAGATGTGAAGCTATCGGCCCTCAGGGTCCTCCATTGGGAGCTAAAAGTGCTGGACCAAGGAAATAATAATAGTCGTTTGAATTTTCAATGTGGTAGATATAAGAATTTTCTTAACTTGGTGCCTAAAATCTGAAAATACTTAATAAATTCCCAGTATGTTAATGATTAAATGCCAAATAAAAACTGGATCTTGCAGCCCAATTAGAGTTGCATATAAATCCAGCCCCACATCTGTGTAATGAAAGCAAGTTCTTTGCTCAAGAGATTGCAGTTTATGGTTTCTCAATTTCCTTCTAGCTTTTTTTGGTTTGGTTTGGCTTGGTTGTCTTTTTGAGACAGAGCCTTGCTCTGTCACCCTGGGTAGAGTGCAGTGGTGTCATCATAGCTCACTGCAACCCCAAACTCCTGGGCTCAGGTGATCCTCCTGCCTCAGCCTCCGGAGTAGTAGGGACTACAGGTGCACACCACCACACCTGGCTAATTTTTCTATTTTTCAGTAGAGATGGGGTCTCACTCTTGCTCAGGCTGGTCTTGAACTCCTGGCCTCAAGCAATCCTCCTTCCTCGGCCTCCCAGAGTGCTAGGATTACAGATACGAGCCACCACACCAGCCTGTCATTCTCTTTTATCCCTCAAAACTTCAGCACATATTTTCTAAGAACAAGTATATATCCTACATATCCACAGTAAAATTATAGAAATCGGGGACTCTCACAGAGATACAATGTTACTATCTAAAACCACGTTGCGTATTCAGATTTGGCCAATGGTCCCAATGATATACTTATAGCATGGGGGCGGGGGACCAGGACTCACATAATACTTAGTTGACATGTTCCTTCAATCTGAAACATGTCCTCAGCTTTTCTTTGTTTTTCATACCAATGTGACAATTTAAAGAGTACAGGCTTATTATTTTATATAAGGTTTCTTGATTGGGGTTGATACAATGTGGCCTTATGAATATATTCAAGCCTACAATTTATGTTTAAGATATGCCCACACAGAAAAGGAGGGGGGGAAAAGGGAAGTGACAGTGGAGAAATCTGAAAAGCATGACGTCTGATGACCAGGGTCAACATCGTGAGTGCCAGGCCATGTTGACAGTTGACCGTGGTGACCCTTGATATGATGTGATGATAATGGTATTTGTTGCTATGACCTTTCTCTCCAAAACCCATGAACCCAGTCCAATTATGAGAAAAAACATCCAACGGATCCCCCTGGAGGGATATTCTACAAAATACCTGACCAGTACTCCTCAAAATTGTCAGGGTCATCAAAAACCAAGAAAGTCTTGGAAACTGTCACAGCCAAGAGGAGCCTAAGGAGACTTGACGATTGTATGTGATTGTGGTGTCCTGGGTGGGATTTTAGAGCAAAAAAAGGACATTAGGTAAAAATTAAGGAAATCAGAATAAAGCATGGACTATGGGAATTCTCTGTACTCTCTCTGAAATTTTTCTATAAATCTACAACTCTTATAAAAAACAAAGTGTATTAAAAACATTTTTAAATGTGTACACATTTCTACGTCCTTGCGTTTGTTAGTGAATTTCCAGTTCACGCCTATGAACTCAAATTCAGACTACCTCCCGAGTGTTGTCTGAGTTCACAGTTGCTCAATGTCATTAACCTTTTGATTATCAGTCACGGTACTTCTGTGCATCAGCCAGCACACTTTGAAACAAACTGGGCAGAGGTTAATGATTGTTTTCTCTTTACCATAAAATCCAATGTGCCAGCAGCCGCAGCAGCCTCCAGTGGTGACTGCGGCTGACCCCCTCACACCAAGCACAAAGAGCCGATCATCATGTCAGACGACTACTTCTGGTATGAAGGGATAGCTTTCCCTGTCGTCGATTACAGCGCTGAAATCCTAAGAAAAGTACGTGAGGAGTTTGTGCTGAAGGACGAGGATGTAGTGACAGTGACTTACCCCAAATCAGGTAAGGAAACGGAATCATGAACTCAGAAAAGCTGTGGCTGTGTTCTTTATTCATTCAGTAGACGACTGGATTGAAGTGTTTATTTTTTCCCCCTTTGAGACAGGCTCTAACTCTGTCACCCAGGCTGGAGCACAGCGATCCAATCATAGCTCCCTGTAGTCTCCAATTCCTGGGCTCAAGCGATCCTCCCAAGTAGCTGGAACTACAGGTGTCCACCAGCAAGCCAAGCTAATATTGTTTTTTAATTTTTTGTAGAGACGGGATCTTGCTATGTTGCTCAGGCTTGTCTCAAGCCCCTGGCCTCAAATCCAGGCGATCCTCCCACATCGGCCTCCTAAAGTGCTGGGATGACAGGCATAAGCCATCGCCTGTGGCTTATCTTTCCATATGCCAGACAATGTGCAATGTTTGGGGGGATGGAGCAATGCCTGATAGCATTTACATGCAGAGAAAAGGATTCAGTCAGGAAACTACACAGTAAGATGAATGTTCAGAGGGGATAATCTAAGGTATTAGGAGAACCCATAGGAGTGAATGCTAAGGCAGATTCAGGTGTTTATCTTGGTGGGGAGGAGGATGACTACTGAAGTCCTAATAGAAGGAATAGAATCTAAATTGAAATGAAAAGAATGAAAGTGAAATTACTTGATGAAGGGGGACATTTTCACGTAGAGGAATCATCATGGACAATGGTCAAGAATTGGAGAAGAGCCTGCCACATCCAAGGGACTGGAAGATGTAGATCATATTTCTATGGGAGTGGGGCTGGGGAGTCAAAGTATTGCAAATTGGACAAAGATTGAGGCCAGAGACACTGGGAGGGGCATGGCCTTGAAAAGCCAAGAGCAATGGGAACGTATTAAAAAACTTCAGCAAATAGCCAAAAAGTGGAAGCAACGCAAATACCCATTGACAGATGAGTAGATAAACACAATGTGGCAAATAGATACAATGGAACATTATTCATCCTTTAAAAGGAAGAAAATTGTGATGCATGCTACAGTCTAGATAAACCTTGAGGTCATTATGCTAAATGCAATGAGCCAGTCACCAAAATGCAAACACTGCATGATTCTATTTATGTAAGGTGTCTAGAGAGTCAGGTTCACAGAAACAGAAAGTGTTAATACAATGGTGGTTGCTGAGGGGTGGAGGGAGGGAGGAATGAGGAGTTGTTTAATAAGTATAGAGTTTCAGTTTTGCAAGTTGAAAAAGTTATGCAACACTGGGAACATACTTAACACGACAAAACTGTATGTTCAAAAATGTTACATTTTATGTTATGTGTATTTTGCCACAAATTTTTTCAAAGTCAGATTGAAACAAGTGACCATGATTTTTCCTTCTTTGTCCAGGAACACATTGGTTGTCAGAGATTCTCTGCCTGATTCGATCCAAGGGAGATACCAAGTGGATCCAATCCGAGCCCCTCTGGGAGCGCTCACCCTGGGTAGACACTGAGCACGGGTTTACATTACTAAATAAGAAGGCAGGCCCACGCTTCCTCAACTCCCACCTGCCTGTCCATCTCTTCCCCAAGTCTATCTTCAGTTCCAAGGCCAAGGTCAGTGCATAATGGTCAAGACATGTTTGAAGGATGCTTTTCAAACTTTAATGTGCCTATAAATCACCTGGAGACCTTGTTGAAATGCATTCTCACTCAGTAGGTCTGAATGGGACCCAAGATTCTCTATTAGGTGATGCCAGTGTGGCTATTCCACAGACCATACTTGAGTACGAAGGTATACATACCATTCTGCAGATTACCCCGGCCAGATTTAAACCACAATAAAGTGACGTGATAATGCCAGAATCAGAAAACCACGTGTTAAGCCCAACTAGAATTTATAACTGCATTTTATACTAAATAAGACCCTTTTTGTTGTTCTACATTGAAAAAAAATAGTGATCCAATCTTAATTCAATTAGTGCCTCTTGCCACTAAAAAGAAACAGAATTGCTCACATGGCAAACAGGACATTTGCAGATCAATGCCTAAATCCAGGGTCCCCGCTCCGGTGTCAGGGCTGGTGTTTCCAACCGCCGTGTCTTACTGAGCGTAGCTGTCTATCGAGATTAGCAGCCACACCGATCTCCCACGAGGCTGACCGATGATCACCAGATGGGACAATCATTATTCAGGATCTAACATCTGTCAGACCATTTTTAGAAACATGCTTTCCTTACAAAAAAAAAAAAAAAACCTCCCAAAAAAGAATTAATGGGTTGGGAAATTCCTAAAAGCCCTTTGCCTAAAACAAAATGAAAAAACTAACAAAACAAAATCCCCCCCCCTAAAAAAGGGAAAATGGGCAAAAACAAAAACAAATTGGTAACAAAAAACCAATTAAAAGGGCCTTTTTTTTAATTCAACAAAATAAGGGGGGAAAAAAGGTTAAGGTTTTACGTGTGTCTTATCAGTGTTTGGTAAATCTCTGTGTGGGGAAACTGTGGCCTAAGAGAGATGAGAACTAGAATAATGTCATAAAGAGAGTTGGTACAGGATCCAAAGTAAAATGTAGATGCTCAAATGCCAAGTAATCTTGCTTGTGTGTGTGTGTGTGGGTGTGCGTCTGTGTGTGTAGTAATCTTAAGTATTAGCTCAATGAATATTTACATATGTGCATGCTGGGTAACCCCCGTCTATGTCCAAATTTAGAATATGTCCACTCCCTCATCCCCCTTCCCAACCAATGCCCACCCACAGAGGTAAACACTCCCCTGACTTATAACTATAGATTAGTTTTGCCTGTTCTTGAACTTCATACAAATGGGGTCATGCCGTATGAACTGTCAGATGTCTGTGAGATTCATCCATGGTCTTGGGGGTCCATGTGGATAATATTTCTATATATCTAGGAGCGTAGCATAATTAATCCATTCTCCTGTTAGTGATCTTTAAGCTACAGTACACAAATATAATGCCACTCGCATCTTAAAACCTTCCAGTTGCTTCCCACTATGAGACCATAATATCCCAGAGGGAGCGGACCATGCTTTCCTCTTCCATTGCCATACTCCTAGCACAGTGACTACTTCATAAGAACTTTACACTTTATATTTGATTAATCAATGAAGTCAGTAATTTATTAAAAGAATCCATTGACATTTAATAGGCAGCTTCTAAGAAATTGCTTTTCCCCCATTTTTATGAAGAGCAAAAGGAGTGGGAAATAAATGTATTGATTTTTATTCTCCCATGTTTCCATTTAAGGTGATTTATCTCATCAGAAATCCCAAAGATATTATTGTGTCTGGTTATTTTTTCTGGAATTCAGTGCATCTCGCTAAGAAACCAAAGTCAATAGAACAGTATCTCCAATGGTTCGTGGAAGGAAACGGTGAGTGTGTTGTAGTAACAAAATACGGAAGCTAGGGGGCGATGGGAGCCCCCAACCCACTCGGAGCGCGGCCTGTTAGGGACCCCGCCAAGGAGCTGCGCCGCCCCCCGCCCCCACCGCTTCCCGTGGGAAAACTGTCTTCCATGAAACCGTCCCTGTGCCACAAAGGTTGGGGACCACCGCGATCAGGCCTCGCTTGACACCCAGCCTCGCGTCTGTGCATCTCGCCAACCCATGGGTATAAGGCTCCGTCACCCAAATCTGCGAAGGCCCCTCCTCTCGCGCCTCTGCAGCCAGCCCCTCCGCCCGCCGCCGGGAAACCGGCCACGCTATTTCCTGTGTCCCCAGCAGCGCTGACACAGACTACTATATTCTTCTCCACTCTCCTAATTGGTGGCCTTCTGAAAGTCAGCTTTTCGTTGGCTCCCAGGCAACACAATCCTGACCTTCTACCGTTTTTTTTTCCCCACAAAATGCCTCTTTCCAAAACTTCCTTAATCTCTATTTCTACGTTTGCATGGCTCTGGAATCTCTATACTTTTAATTATGCAATTATGCAGAATCTCTGGGCTTTCTCAAGCACTTTCAATGTGGCAATTTTTCTCACAACTGCGTGATGAGTCCCCTGTCTCAGCTGTGAATGTCTCCCAGGCTCTAGCGGCCTGGAGGGAGCCATAGATGCCCCCGATTCAATATGTTCAAGACCCGGGCTTGGTGGCTCACGCCTGTAATCCTAGCTCTCTGGGAGGCCAAGGCAGGCCAATTGTTTGAGCTCAGGAGTTCGAAACCAGCCTGAGCAAGAGTGAGACCCC